CCATCTGAAATTGTCCTTTCATCTTTAAAGTGAAGAGATTAGACTAGGAATCATATTCACAACTATTTGTGAGTCAGAGACCCCTTTGAGATTCTGCTGAAAACTATGGACCTTCTTCACTGAAGAGGCACAGAAACAAGTATAAATAGAATTCCAAGAGGGTCAGAGGCTCTCAAAATACATCCACAAGTTCCCCAGAGGACTTTAGAATGATTTCAAACTTCTAAAGTATGTGGTTGAAAAAAAAAGAATCCATTTACATTTGCTACTCCCGATGTGAATTGTTTTAAAATGTGCATTTGGGCCACTTAAGTCATTTAAAGTTAGAATTACTTTTTTGTAACTTATAGTACTCAGAGTAAAGCAAAATTTTCAGTAGGAAAGAAGATCTCCTTTGTATATGAATGCATCTCAGGGTTGGTGAGTTTGTGAGCCTGCCCTGCTACTCAGTCCAGGGTTCCTTCTCGTCTGAGATGGAAATTTAGCTTTGACTTGGACACACACAGTGATGGGGAGCTCACTCACATGCTTATTGCTGGGCAAACATAAAGAGTTTAGAAATTTTCTTCTTTATATTGAGCCATACAAATGTCCCTGACTTAACAATGGTTTGATTTAAGATTTTTTGCCTTTACGATGGTGCAAAAGCAATATGCATTCAGAAGAAACCGTATTTCGAATTTTGAATTTTGATCTTTTCCTGGGCTAGTGACATGCAGTAGGATATGGTCTCGTGATGCCAGGCGGGGCAGTGAGGCCAGCTCCCAGGTAGCCACAGGGTAATGAGTGTAAACAACAAATACAGTACACTTACAACCATTCTGTACCCATACTACCATTCTGTTTTTCACTTTCAGTATGGTATCCAATAAATCACATGAGATATGCCACACTTTATTATAAAATACGCTTTGTGTTAGATGATTTTGCCCAACCACAGGCTAACATCAGTGTTCTGAGCACGTTTAAGGTAGGCTAGGCTAAGCTATGATGTCCGGTAGGGTAGGCGTATTAAATGCATTTTCCACTTATGATATCTTCAATGGGTTTGTTGGAATGTAACCCCACTGTAAATCTAGGAAGATCTGTACTCTGCCCTCACCACATGAATGTCAGCTACTGACACTACTGCCGCTCTCAGTCGCCACTTAGATAAATTTTATTTCTTTTTCCAGGCTTTTAGGAATTCAATGGCAGCCTCTTTTGTCCTCTCTTAATTTTGCTAAACAGTGCAGTTTCATATCCAATTCTTCTGGAAGAGATTTCATAAAACTGCTTTTAATCTCAATTACTTCCTTCAATGGAACTCTTGAAATGCAGAATCCAGAATTGGGCAGCATAATCCAGAAAAGTCTGAACAACACATGGTTAGAGAGAAGTTTCCTCTCTTAAACTGCTGACTCTCCTGTTAGAAATGCCACCCACACTGCCAAGAGCTCTGTTCCTACAAACAGGTGACTCTGTTGGGTCATGTTGAAATTGTGGTCACCTGAATCCCTAACTATACTCAATCTAGGTTGTCCTCATTCTCTATCTTTTAGAACCAAAATAATCTTCCTAAAAACAAAACTCCCTTTGACCTCTACCTTAATTGCTTAGGCCATCTTTCCAGCTCTTTGGAATACTAGTTTTTCACTCATCATGTCATCTTTTCTTCCAAGTTTCATGTCATCTACAAATGTGATAAACCTGCCTTTTTCCCCTCTGAATTAATCGATAAACATATTGATGTGTGGTTTGCCAAATGTAAGCCTCCCTTTAGGGATTAATTATTCATAATTCTTCACTCAGTCACTTTACAACTTCATCCAACTCACATTTAACCTCCTGATCTACAGAATGGAGAAGAGCACGAGTATAACGTTCTGTGCAGGGGCAACATTTCTTTCTTTTCCTTTCCTTCTTTTACTCAGTCTACTTTCTTTTCCTCAAACTCTATTTTCTTCACTCCTTCATGTATTCATACCGCATATCCTTGTCTTATATATGGCTCCTTTTCTTGTATGTTCATTTTGTTACGGAGAAAAGAGCCTCCGTGCATTTTGAGGATCCCTCTGCCTTCTGCCCGAGTGCAGGGCTGCCTGTGTTTTTCTTGCTCCAGGAGGCCCTTTGCCACATGCTGGGAATCAGTTCACGTGCAGGTGAGGTGTTTTCCTGCGTGTTCGTTAGCATTTGGCAGAAGAGGAGAATCTGAGAATTTCACCAACACCTCCAGAGCAAGTTACTTTCCTCCACCTCCAGAATTACTCAAATATTGAATGAGGCTTCAAAGAAAATTTAAATACGAGGCATATGTGTGTTTGGGGATAGGAGGAGGGGCGTGGGGAGAAAAATTATTAGACAGTTCTCACAGACTTCACACATTAATCTCAGCATTTATTGCATCTATAACCAAACAAACATTGCTGAAAGGAAAAAAGAAAAATTCAAAGCACAAATTAATCAACCATCCGTTATCCAATGGAAAGATGACGTTAGTGTAAACTGCTTTGGGAACCAAGGAATCTGTGGTCCTGTAGAGAGGTTCGGCAGAACAGCTCTGTGATGTCACCTACTCCTGCCTCATCAAAATCTTTCACCTGGCAATAGCTAATGCCACACTCAAATAAGACCGAGAAAAGCCCGTTCCAAGGTTTGCTCAAGTGAGTGATTTTACTTTAAAGAAGGCTTTCTCGTATAACTTTGTGGCCGTTATCATTATAAAATAAATAAGTGAGTAGACCTATAGTCAAGTATGGGAAGTGGATGATTATTGGTTTAATAAGTTGGACATTTGGTTACCATTTTTTTAAATGTTTGACTCCCTCATATAGACAAATCAATGTTGGCATTAAGTTAAACCTAATTTAAGGAAAATTGTCTGAACACGACTGCATTACTCTGTAGTTACTTTGAGGATAAAAGGGATGAGCCCTGGAGGCAGTAGAACCTTTGCAAATCCTGGGTGGTGCAGACAATTTTAGCTCAGGAAACAGTGGCAGGTGGCTGAATGATTACTATGCTTTAATACTTCAGAGGGAATGCCAAGATGGTTTGAACCAGATTAGTAGGTACTGTAAACCACAATAAATCCTAGAGATTGATAGGTGAGTCTAGGTTAGCATCCAAAAAGCTAAAGGTGAAAATGAGTTGGGGTCTCCTGACAATGGAACTTTATGCTTCATTCACTCAGTCAGTCGGTCAGTCAGTGAGTCAGTGAGTCAGTGAGTCAGTCAGTCAGTCTACATTGAGGGACTATGATGTGTCAGAACTTCTTTTAGAACCACACTATCCTTGTAAAGTTGAACAAATCATTTATCTTCTTGAAGTCTAGATTTCACCATCCAGGTATTTATCTCGTGGAGTTGTGAGGTTTAGTGACCCAGGTATGTAAGACTCCGGCAGAGTGACTGATTGGATGCTCATTGAACTCCTTTTCCTTCTTAGCATTTAGACCTCTTTTTCTCCTGTGTAATCTATAACATGATGAAATAAGTTCCACTTGTTAACAACAAAATTCTCTCTGTGGTGATTGTGAGTGATCTGTGTTTGCAGATGAAATTACAGTATTTAAATATTATTACAACTTATCAAATATTTTTGCAAGATAATCAACCAAGTCCAGGGGTGTCATTCCTTGCCAAATGGCACTCGGAGGTTGCTGGCTGCAATACATGCAAACCCACTCTGTTTTTTTCCTTTTTTTAGTTTCTTTGTTTCATAGTAAACATGAGCAGTGACTTCCTTTCAGTTATCAATTCTGACTGCAATGTTTTTCAGTAATATTTAGAAAAATCTCATAAACAAATTCACTAAAATATAAAAATCTGTAAACTTTTCCATGTTACACATCACTATCTGCAGAGTGTCAGCTAGTACATGATGTTTTAACAGAATAGACCCAAGTGAAATGAAAGATAATTTTGTAATGATTGTAGTAGTCGCCTTATGATTTATACTCCAAATTTCAGTTAATTTTGAAAACAATCTGAATATACATTATTGTGGAACTGCCAAAGACATATACCAAAGTGTCACCTCATTAATTCCATCAATCATTTATGCAATCAATATTAATGAGCACCTACTGTTTGCCAGGCTCTGTGCCTGGGACCCCAAAGTGAAACCCCATCCATAATCCTGACATCAGCAAGTTTGTTCTAATGAGAAAAATATGTAAACAAATACTGTTCTATAAAGTAATTGATACAAGAGAAAGTGATCCAAGAGCAGGGGGAAATATGAGAAAGACCCAGCTAGGTCTACTTGGGGAACTGGGGGAGCCTTCACAGAGGAGGCAAGCTGCTATCAGGATGAGTGGGAGGTTATCAGGTGGGTGAGTAGGAAGAAGCCATTCGGCAGAGAGAATAGAATGAGAAAGACATGGAGGCTTGAGGGAGCCTGGAGTGACCTGTAATGTGGAAGAGAGGGTTAGTGTTGTTAAAGCATAAATTACTGTGAAAGGGGGAAGCAGGAAAGGCTGGTGGAAATGAGGCCAGATAGGTAGGGAGAGGCCAGGTCACATAGCCTATATATCAGGCAAAGGTGTGCCAATGGTTTTCCTCTGTGTAGGTTTTGGGGGAAGTGATTGAAGAATTTTTAATACAAAAGTTTCAGAATCAAATCTGTATGTTTTGATTCCTAAAGAAGACTAACAGTATTCTGATTCTTTTGTTGTTTGAAAGTTACAGAAATGGCACACGCACACCTCCTCGCTCCTGAGGAGGGGCAGTAAGAGCCTGTGAGCAGATTTTTAGTTAACAGGTTTTTAATAGGCAGTGATGCAATTCTTAATGGAGAAAATTTAATTACTATAAAAGACATTCTGTTTCGAATGGAAATTGGGCTGGGTGTGTTTTTATTCCTCAGTGAATTAAAAGGTTTATGTAAGATTAGATTGTTGAGATCCTTGGAGAAAACACATATACACCAGTGAAAACGTTCCACTCATTTTCTTTGCCTCTTGCAGCAAAGCAGTGAATCTGCCAGAAATAAATTGAGCATAATTTTTATAATTTCAGGGGTTAAGCATACGAAAGGCCAGAATGAATCAGCATTCCCCGAAGAAGAAGAAGGCGTGAACGAGAGAGAAGAGCAGTGGGACCATTAATAACGGGTCTGCAGCAAGAAGTCTTCTTGGGAATAACTGAACTATTAACTTTTCTGAATATCCCATGGAACGCCACTGCTTGACTTCTATCTCTGCTCTCCACACTCACAAAGTAGTAATACACCTCCTGGGAAGCGCCCCTTGATGGAACTTTAGAACTACCTACAGATCGTTCCACATTACTTACAATTAAAAAATAAGTATTTATTTTACAACAGTGATTTTCTTTCTAACAACATAGATATTTGCAAACATGTGAGTGTTCTAACTTTAATACCGCCCAGCTTAATCCCTGATGTCCTACTGATAAGATTTGCCTTCTAATGTCAAATGTAAATAGCATCACTTTAAAAGTAAAAAATAAATAGTAAATACATTTAGACATGAGTGTGTGTCTGGGTTTAACTTACAGAGGAATGTTTAATGAAACTTTTAAGATCTGCATTTATCCTGTTGCTGTACACAGAATGGTACATAGTATTTATTTCCGAATGATGGAGAAATGCCAGATTTCTTGATTCAAAAGATCAAAATGTATTACTCTTTAGATATTAAACATCTTTTTCCCTCCAACAACACGTTAATGATTAAAGAACCACAGATTTCTCTTCATTTTTTAAGCTGTGAGAGGTGTATTTTCCATCATTTCCACTAGTTATTAAGAAAGAAAAATTATAAATCTAAAATAAAATATGCCAAATTTCCCCTGTCACTTATTTTTTGCTATTACTGGAAATATGGGGTGTTTCCTATTGCATTTTAATGAATCATTAGATTTTATAAATCTCCTATTATCATAAGATAAGAAATTTCATTAATTCATGAATTCGTTAATTCAACAACTATTTTTTATGGGTTCATCTCTAGGAAGGCACTTTGCTGGGTGTTATGAAAATAAAGGAAAGATAATTTCTCCCCTACAGAACTGGCAGAGAAGATAAGCATCAGTACAAAGCAAGGTTTTACAAGACCATGTGTATTTACTGAATATGGCTTTTGATAATTCAAAGTTCTGGCATCCTGAACAATTATTTATTGCATTTCAATGTAAAGTATCTACACCACATAATTTAGTAGAGGTGGAGGAATGCCCAATTTGCTTCCCACATTAATGATGTTAGTGAAGTTCAAATGTTTCATGGATTAAAAAGCTAAAGATGAAAAGATTTCTCAAAAGTCAATAAAGAGGTAAATTAAGATAGGAAGAAAAAAATCAAATGCAAAATCCACCGTGGGATCGTAAAATCAGGACTCAAAGAAGTAAAAGTACTGTTTTTAATTTTGACTGTGAGTTTTATAATATAGAGGTTAAAAGAAATGCGTGAATCCATAAGCCAATACAATAGAGATAATGATAATTTTCCTTAGTATATTTTCCCCAAGAAAATAAACGCAAAACTCATTGATAAGTAGTATCTCAAGTATTTATGAGTACTTGTTCCAAGTTTCCTTCTTTTTTCCTTTCTTCCTTCCTTCTTTGCTTCTTTCCTTCCTCTCATCCTTCCTGCCTTCCTTTCTCTTCTCCCTCCCTTGCCCTGGCCTTTTTTGTTTTGTTTTGTTTTTGTTAAACCAGTTTCACCAAAAATTTCTAGACCACCTGCTGTGTTTCTAGACCACCTGCTGTGACTGTTTATTTGATTTTCAAAGTTTCTCCCTACTTAAAATCTGATTAAGACACATATTTGTTTTAAGTGATTTTGAATTATTTGTGTTTGTAAAACATCCCGGACACCCCTTGAGATAATTTGAGATACCCTGAGGCCCTAAAAAATAAAATTGCCCTTCCCTTCCCATGAACAGACATTTTTATAAATGTTTTTTCAAAAGGATTCAGACAAACAAAAGAAAAGCTTTTGCTGACTTTGTAACAGCAAAAAACACATGGGGAAATAAACACAATGGCTTCTGGATTCTTCCATCGTGTTCTCCATTCTTAAAAATGAAAAGAGATGAAAATTAAAAGAATAAGTTTTCCTTCAGAAATGTTGGTTTCTTTTATTCTGTTCTCCACTCTCAAAACACAGAGATCACAATTAAAAGCATAAGTTTTCCTTTGGAAAAGTGTTGACTTTCTCAGAAATTTGAAGGAAACCAGCTGAGATAATGGCTTTTCAGTTTCCTTTTCACACAATTACAGTTTACAACAAAATTTTTTTCATGATGACAACTTGGCTTCCGTTTGGCTGAATGGGCAAAGAGAGTTTCTGACCAAAACAAAACAGAACAAAACCTTTATCTTTTCCAGACAACATTTATAATATAATAGTAGACAGGGTTTGAGTCACTCTGACTTGGGTTCAAATTCAACACTACCAAATTTTTAGACTCAGTCTCTCTATTTGTAAAATGAGTATGATCATACCTACCCGTATTGCATTATTTTGAAAATTAAACAAGAAAACACCTATAAAATGTTTAGCCCAGCATAATGAGCATTTAATAACTGGTGCAATTATTATTACTAGAATGAGAAAGGACTTGAGACTATCTATCCAAACCTTCTCTAGTTCATGATCCCCTCCAACAGCACAGACAAGTGATTGATTGCTTCTCTAATTCTTGAATAGCTCCAGCTGAACCCCAAACCCAGACAAGGAGCTCTAATTGTTCTTTTGTGTGTTAAACTCTCTCCTTCTCCTATACTTTACCTCCTTTCCTATGGCACAGCTGTTCAGATACTGAAGAACACTCTGGTGTCATCTCCTAAGTGGTCTCCTCTCTGTGATAAAATATCACCAGTTCTTCCCAATCTTTTCTCATCATCCTGGCCGCTCGCTCTTGTATCTCTTCAATTGTGTACGCTGAATCTGAGAAAGGTTAAGTCAGGTGGATAAGTTTGAGACAGGCTGGGACCTGGGACCCTTTGCTGCAGTGCTGCAGTGCTTACACCTGGACACACCTCTCCTCAAGCAACAAAATACAAAGAAACTGTATGGGACTAAAAACAACTGCATGTCTGGGCAGTTGGGGCAAATTCTGGACAAAAGATACAAAGAGACCAAAAAACCCAACTGCCACTTTTGAAAAGTCTGGAGCAAAAGCGGGTACTGCACATGCCCCCTGCACACACCACCACCTAAGGGGTGGGCAAAACACCTAAGCCACCCCTCTGGCCTGACCCCTGGACACACCCCTACCCTCATTCCATATAAGGAACGAGCCCGACCCTCTCCGCAGCCAGCAAGCAAGGGAACCTGTTGTTTGTTCTCGCTGCACCCTGCCACAGCAGGTGGCCCAATAAAGCCTTGCCTGAATTTCTTGTCTGGCCTCTGATCAATTTCATTTGATGAAGGAGGCCAAGAATCCTGGTCAGTAACAAGCTGAGTATTTTTTGTGTCCCCCTAAACATGAGAAACTGAAGCAGAGAGTGTAGAAGGGCAGAGCAGGATTCTAGGCCAGAGTTCTTTCTATTAAACCGTGATTTTCTAACCCCAGAGTTGTGCAAGGTAAGCATCTTTATAAAAAACAAAATTCTCAGACTATTTTCTATTCTCAAAAAAGTTTACACCATCCATTTAAAATTTTAATTCGATTATGCCAATGCTTTCTATATTGTGGAAACATTATTTTAGGTTAGCCACGGACAAATTATTTTTATACTTATTTTTTATATTTATAAATACTATTATATATTAGAAAAGATACATAATCACCAGCTCCTAAGCTATTGTTGCTTAGGATGAGACAAGCTTAAAGTGTTAGTGTATTTTAAATCAATTTTTAAAAAAATGTTAAATAACCATAGTAGAAATGGTACCTCAAAATCACAAAAGTGATACGCCATCGAGTGAAGTTTTGGAAACACCGGTATGGAGTATTGTCATAGCAAATAACTTAAGTGCAAGTATTGCAGAGTTTATTTAGTCGCAATATGGATTTATGAATTCATAAATAAACCAGTTATATTGTATTGATTTAAAAATTCTGTTTCTTTACCCACATCTAAAAGCAAACAGTGTAAAGTGCAAACTGATAATAGAAAAGCTTGTCTAACTACATTAAAGTGTTTATGCTTACATGTAATTTTGAGCATTTGATTTCTCTGAAGGAGGATGGGGGAAGAAATATCCTTAGTTTTCCAAGTCTTTGATTCCAAAAACCAGTCTTCAAAGCTCCAGCAGATATATTAATCATTAAAAATGTCTATGTTACTGAAATGTGAAATCTGTTAAAGAAATTAAATTATTAGATTTTATATGTTATTATCATAACATTCTGAAGAACTAAATTTCGGAGGAAGAAGAGCTTTAGGAAAATGATGGAGGGCATCTTTTCACTGCTGTGTGAATTAGAACAAGTCAGACATCCTTAATTATTCTATACTATTTTTCATGGGATAATTTGGTGTAGTTTATAAAAGTGTACATTGGAAACAAGAAACCAGTATTCTAGTTTATTATTCAATAAATATGTATGAATGCCTATGACATGCTAAACATTGTGTTGAGGACACAGGTGTTAACAAGATAGTTAAGGTCCTTAAATTCATGGATGAATATTCTAGTATTTGAAGACTGTCAATAGATATGTAAATTAATAAGTGAATTAGATCATTTCAGATAGTGATAAACTCCTAGAAGGAAATAGAAAGAGGTGATGTAGCAGAGCGTGTCATTTCCTCTTTGTCATAACTGTGTGACATTGAGGAAGTTCTTTAATTACTCTGGGACCCAGTTTCCTATTCAGTAAAAATGTGGAGAATGATATGGGGGAGGGGTAACCAGATGATCATGTGAGGCTCCTTCTGAATCTAAGATCTTTGTTTCTCCCTCTGACTCTTTCAGGAACTGCAGGCAAGCAGCAAAGGAGAGAAGAGGTGGGAACAGACAGAAAGCAGCAGCATTAAGGGAAGATGGAATCAGAAGAGAAAAGGTGTATCTTTTCATGCTTGTCTGACAGCCAACAGAACAAAACTGAGTTAGAAATACTCATACACGTATGTATGCATGTATAGTATGTATGTAGGTAACAACCTTAGCATTGTAACCAATTGTTTTCTTTTACAACTTATCCTTAGAAAATGATCTAAAAAATGGTGATCAGTTTTTGTTTGTTTGCTTGTTTGTTTTAAGATTTAAAAGGAAACTTTCCAGGAAAAATTTCCTGCTGCAAATGACTAATTGGATACTCTATTTAAGCATACAAGTTTGTTGCCATTAAGTGATGCTTAACAGATTTTTCCCTTTGCAGAGATTTACATGACATGGTATTAAATTCTCTGGAATGTTTCCACTGTGTTCTGAAGTAGTTAGTTATTTTCTTTTTCTCCTCCAGGTGCAAAATGAGTTGATAACAAACAGAAGCTGACTTGTCATTGCTGTGTTCCTACTTGAGCTTGGAAAAATACCAACACAAAACAAATACCATCACCACCATCACCTCCAGCTCCATCATTGTGTGTTATTTGCTTTCTCCAGGATTGCTTTCTGAAGCAC